CTCCCCATAAAGGTCTCTGTAGCTGCTCAGCACAGCAGCCCATCCCTGCCCTCCCTCTGATCTGTCTTTACCTTTAGCATACAACTCTTCTCCTCCGTGGGTTTCTCCAGCCCCGAGCCAAACACTCACATTAAATATACATGTTCCTCTGCAAAGAAGAGTCAAATTCTGCTTTTAAACCTAAAACCGAGCTGCCAGTCCTCCTCCTTTTAGCCCTACCTGTATCTCTCCTTTTCCTCCTCCTTTTTTTTTTATTTAGATTTTTTTTTTCCATTATTGCTGAATTCTTTCATTAGATTTTATGGAGATAATGAGATATTGCTGCTGCTCATGGTTTACAGGGCAGGAGGGGGGGATATTAAGATCAGGAGCTGCTATAAATACAGTGAAAGAGGAATGTCTAATCATATCTAGGCTTCTCTTATTGCACATGTCATTTAAACAGGATGGAGTTCTGTGATTTCAATCAGTTTATTATAAATCACTTAAAAGGAGTTTTATGGTGTTCTGTCATATTGACTCTTTCTAAAGGAGCTTTTCTGAAGCGGCTGCAGGGTGACTCATGCTATTCAGTGCCAGGGGCAGACAGAAAGAGGTCTGTACATGGAGGAATTTTCAGGATCAAAATGTAATTCAACACACATGATGCATGATTTAGTTGGCGGCTGCCTGCTTTCTAAAAATATCCACCCCCAGCTTTGTTCCCCCTTCTTCATTTATCATTTTCTATCCGCAGACTGACATGTGACAGCAGTTCATCAGGATGCGATATTAGACTCTGAAGCCCGCGCCGGCGATCAGCTGGGCCCCATTTGCATAATGATTATAAGACGTGAAATATCCAGGTTGGCTCCTGCATAAACACATGCCAGTCATCATCATGAGAAATCATTGCTTCTTCCTCCAGCAGCAAGGTGCCAGCAGGCCGGGATTGATGCCGTCCATGATGAGTTGCAGAGACCGCGGGGGCACGTTTCAGAGTAACGCATGGAGGAGGTCCGATGGCCCAACATGAGGGAGAAACCAGACCACTGAACATAGCACGGGAAATCACTGCTTCATTAGCGCCGCACTGACTGGGCCCATGAAAACCTATAATAACTAATCACAGTTTAATATACGGCAAACCGTTTTTGGTCGTTGTTTCCTCGGTTATGATGCAAAGTGACTGTAGCAGGAAGAAGATGAGCTGAGGATCAACAGCTTCAGCTTCTTTAGTCGCGATAAAGAGCAGAGGTGTCAGGGAACAAATTTAAAATACTTCCTTGCTTACGTAGAAATGTTTTCCTTCTATACTTTACTGGAGTAATTATTTCTCAGACAACTTTTTACTTTCTAATCCTTACACTTTAAAAACAGACTCGTTAGTTTTGTTTAAGCTCATTTTCATTATGGCCTGTTGGTATTAAAAAAAATAATTAGTTTCATCCAGACAATTCATTTCTTTGTGGTTGGACTCGGTGCTGCCCCAACTTGTTGCTCACCACAAACTAAAATAAATCATTTTTCAATATGATGCAAAGTTAAATGTGACACTGTTTTTCATTAGTTATAGAAGAAAATGAAGTCTAAGGAAGTTATTATCCAGAATTATACAAAAATTTTCCTTTAATAGGGCAGAGCAGTAAAGCTTCTGGCCTTAACAGTTTTTCCTGCATCACTTTGACTTTTACACTTCGTTTTAAAAATGTTACTTTTACACTTTTACTGGAGTAAAAAGCTTAGGTTGATCCTCTAACTTTAAAAAAAGTGTTTTTTAAACAGTAAGATTTATATTTCTTTTAAACATGAATACTGTTGACACCTCTAAGGAGGCGAATGAATCAGACGCACAACATCAGCAGAGCCTTAGTTTCACCGCCGCACTGGAAACTCCTCAGTGTTCCTCAGAATAGAGATCAACAGAAATATAGGCCACAGTTTGGGGTTTTTATGCGTTTTACCGAGTTCCCAAAGTGAACCAGAACAATCAAATGGTGACAAAACAGAGACTGCATGCTAGCTAACCAGATGCTAACCTCCTCGGACATATCTCTGTTTATTCCCTCAGTAACGATCACAGGAGGTCAGGAATCAACGGTCTAAACTGCTACAGATTTCTGATTTAGTTCAGTTATTTAGACTTAGACAACTTTTATTGTCATTTTGTTTACATAGAATGTGTACAAAATAAAATTTATCTTTGTAAAGCTTTCAAGACATTTTAAATTTCTTAAAGTGCAGCAGTGATCAAATGTAAACAGTGTGGGAGAAAAAAAACATAATTTATTAATTATGATGTAATTTTACTCATTAATATATAATTTGCCTCATTTAGAACAGAGTCCAGTTGCTCTAAATTAGTTAAAAGCTTGTTTGACCTCATAGCAACCTTCAAAATAAACGTCTGTTCAAATAAAACCAAAGCGCACTTCATTGCAAAAACTACCCAAAATAAGCATTTTTACCCTTAATTTGA